TCTGTGCTTCGAATTGCGCATGGCAATGAGTTCAAGGAGAAAACCTGGCACGCGGCATTCGAACGGCGGATATTGGGGCGATTCGTGTTTGCAGACTGTCTTTTGTGCGACGAATGAGCACTGTGACCACGGCTTTAGAGGCATGGCAAGATGCAAGAAACTAGTTTTTTTTATACGTTCACCTATCTTAAATTTCATATTTTTTGTGTGAAAATAACTCTCACTTAGATTTTTCGTGTTTTTCTGCAGTTGAAAAATATGAAGACACAAATCACGCAAACATGTTAATAGCATCTATGGTCACGCAACATTTTGTCGTTTAGTCCTGCTCCATTCTACTCACGGACACAGCCTACAGCCAGCTCTGTGATTTCACAACATACCTTAATTATTATTAGCTTCATTTCTCGGCGATCAAGGGCACTATCAGAGGTCAGGCGCCATCATTGAGGCTTCTGCTCCGTTCCCGTCGCCCGCCGCCCGCGGCAGTAGAGCAGTACGAAACCCCTCCCCGCGTAGCGTTCGTGGAGATAGTTGTGTTTTTTTTCCTTTTTTTAGTATATTGTTGGTGTCAGTCGCGCGAGCATAAATTACGCAAATTAAGCGCACTTCTCTTTTATATTTTTTTTTGTGGTTTTATTATTAAAAGTTTCAGTGTGTCGAACCGAAAAAAATACGGGTTCGGTTACGGTTCAGGTTCAGGTAAATTTATTTTGTTCCGGTTCAGTTCCGGTTCGATTAATTCGATCTGAGAACCGGTTCGCGAACCGGTTCTGGGCGCTGAACCGGTTCGCGAACCGGTTCGGAAATTATAAATGACAAATTGCAACATCAAAATAAATTACAAATAAAACATCTGAAATCAGCACATACCAAACGGGATACATCGTAGTGTAAGGCTCAGGGATTTCTACCAGGAATGGCTTATTTATGTGCACTCAAAGGTTACCTCACCGACGTTTACGCATTCGGACTTCATCTAATTGGGTCCGACGCAGTAGCTGTAAAATCTGCGACCTCCTTACAAACCCACTTACAAGTAGAACTCGCTAACTATCCCGCCACCTCGGCGTGTAAGCAATTGAAGGAACAGTGGGGAGAAAATACAGCTTTCTTTATTGGAACTAGCCTTCGGTAACTCAAATTAGACCCTTAAAGAAGTTTTCATTAAACGAGATACGGAATATGAAAAACACTTCACCGAACGCAACGCCAGAAGGACGTAATAGGATAAATATTGAAATAGAAGAGTTCGCTGTCTCACAAATATGTTAGCTTCTAAGTGCCTATACGAAACCGGATGCATTATTACCAAACTCCACAGCCTTTTCTTTTCTCATTCCGATGGAAGCAAGCTTCAAGAACTCGCGCGTTCTAGAAACGTGTTATGAAATGAGCACACAGCAGCATTTAGGATTTACGAGATTGTGACGCGATTTTTTTTTTTTTTTTGCACAGCCTTCCACTTATCTTTCTTCGTGCAAGCCGCGACCGGCGCAATACTGGTTCCTATGTCAAGATTCATGGATGCAGCGTTTGTCAAGATTCATGGATGCAGCGTTTATATTCCTAAGACTGAATGGAGAAGAAAAAAATGTAAGCGAGGTGTGTGTCAGTTGACGGCGCTTAAAAAACAAATGGCATTGATAGCACATTCATTGTCAACAGCGCGTGGCCGAACCGTTTTGACATGAGCCGGTAACCGTTATTTTTTTTTTCCGGTTCAGTTCCGGTTCGGGTTCATCGCGATAGAAATATAACGGTTCGGGTTCGGGTTCAGTTCCGGAAAAAATACCGGTTCGGTTCCGGTTTTCGGTTCGGTTCGGTTCCGGTTCGACACCCTGAAAAGTTTATTAGTATAAAAATGAGCTTCATTCCAGCACCTGAGCAGGCCGACTCGCGAACCTTTTTTGGGATCGTGCGTTCACTTGCTTGACCAGCTGATTATGCCTCTTCGCACAAGGACGAATTGTATGATATATTTAGCAGGGCCGTCAGCCCCTGTGTGACAGTTTGTTTTTATTTGGCATTCGCGGCTGCGGGTCTAAAAAATGTGAGCAGTTCTTCACCCAGTGCGCCTTGATCCAGCGTGTGCAGACCGGAATTGCAGAGTTCTATGATGGGTGTGTTGAACGTTTAAGCTTGGTTACCCGTTGTCTTAAAGGGGGGTGCAACGATATCCCCACTTCGGTAAAAATTTGTGGAAGTTGCCCTCTGACACTTCTGAAGTAAAGAACAGAAAATTGATTTCGCCTTTGTGTCCTAGTTGTTGTGAAAATAAAAGATAACTAATGGCATTTCTGGCACTCCTCAACTCACTCCCAGTCTTCAGGGCCACACCTGGTCCCTCTCCTAGTGACCTCATTCGGGGTGCCGTGTAGCTTCCCGTGTACTCTTTCGGAGGAAGTTTCCTCTCCTACTCTCTGCTCAGATTAGCGGGCGACATGCTGCAGCTTAGAGCCGAGCGACGTCACGTAATCTTTTTGCCGTAGTTCCTTCGGCTGCCGCTCGTGGCTGCAGGGGGGGAGGAGGGGGGAGGAGGAGAAGCTCGACTGTTGCTTTGCAATTATGCAGCAGAATCGTGGCAATTTTTAATGAAGGAGATGATCTTTCTATCCTCCAGGACACGATTAACAACGAAAAAAGGACGAGATGCAACTTATTTTAATCTTAAAATCGTTGCACCGCCCTTTCACCTTAAAGGGGCACAGACACCCCAAAGGTCGTATTTATTTTTATTGTCTAAAACGATGCAAATTGCAATCATAGACACGCAAAAAAAAAACCGCATCGCGAAAAAAAATTTTACCGCGCGCGCGCGCGCCTTTTTATTTTTGGCGTTTGATTTTCCCGCCTCTTGCCTCCTCGCTTCTTTTGATCGGTGACGTCAAGAATCATGAAATTTAGAAGCTTTGTAAGCGACATCTCTATAACATTTAATTACGGCAATCCTAAAACATGTTTTTTAACGCAATTGCGAACGCACTACGGCCCTTCTTTTTGGAATACCAAAAATCGGGAGTTCGTTGTGGTGCCGTCTCCTGGATTTGTATCCTCCAACGGAAAACAGGCGACACCGCTCAAAACCGGTCCGCCGCAACGCCGGCGCTCGCTCCTTTCCTCCTCACTTTGGGTCGCCATGGCAACAGCAGGGAGTGGTGAAAGAAAGTGGACTCTCAGGACTCCGCAGTTTTTGACGTCAAGGCACCGGCGCCGATCGCGCGGGAACTTCGAAATCGGCGTTTGGAAATTGTTTTTTTACTTTACAAATACTGAATTCCCAAATTTCAAACTTTGAGGGTAATGTCCCGGCATCGTTTTCAATCGTTTCAGATAATAAAAAAAAAATATGATTTTGATGTGTCAGTGTCCCTTTTAAAATATTGCAAATATATTTTCTCTCACACACACACATACAAAACCATAACGAAGTTAAATACCTAAAGTTTGTATTCAGCTCCTTGGGGGATTACCCAATGGTTGCTGAAAAAATCATTATAAGGGGTGCGTGTGATACCACACGAATTTACGATTGATTGATTGATTAGTGGCTTTCTGGCGCAACAGCGACGTGACTATACTGCGCCTAACTTAAATATTTACGCAAAGGAGAGGTAGAGTGTTATTTAATGTAGAAGTAAAAGTCAGACACTTTGGCAGAAGACAAAACGCTGAGAAGGACCTAATTATCTGTGGTGATCACATACTATGGAAAGCGCATGTTGGAAAAGCTAGAACTTATGCAAAAAACCTGTTTTCTCAAGGAACATAACAACATGTTTAAAAGGAATAATCGGCTTCTCATCAAGCACTAGTGCAGGGTGAAATGGAATGCAATATATTAAGAATTCCGGAAAACATGAGCGTCTTTCTTGTGAAAGGGCAGAGCAGAAACTAAGAATATGCTAGACCGTCAAAATCTCACCACAGTGTTCGCAAAAAGGTCTATCTGCCCCAAGCAACAAGTACACATTGGTGGCGTAAGAATGACCAAGCCTCAAGCCACAGAGTAATATCTCATGAGACCGGGTTCTATGGGAAGAGCTGTCCAATATCCCTATATAAAACCGGCTTGATGGAGTGCAGCTTATTGTCATGCTGTTGATTTCATTCTGTTTACCATTTTAGGAAAGTTGCTGCCCTAAAAATAGGTTTCAGGTCTTGATGTGGTAGCTGAAGACGTGTTTGCAGCAAGCTTTCAGAAGAGGTCGCAAGCCTGTCAGCCTTCTCATTGCCACTGAGCCAAACGTGGCTAGGTACCCAGCAAAATATGATGTCATGAGCCTTTTGTAGGCCTCTATTTATTTTTGCACGCACAAGCTGGATAAGATTATGCTTTGAACCCTTTACAGAACTGATTGCAGTTATGACAGTCTGAGAATCAACAAACACGACGGCCTTCATTGTGTGGCTTTCTATATTATATCTCACTATTGTTAATACACCTTGAAGTTCTGCAGTGGATATACTAGCAGCAACACTGTTAAACCTCTGAACGCTCGTAAATTATTCAGAGTACACAGCAGACCCAACAAAAAAGGAGGTCTTTGCCCCGTCGGTATAAAACTGTGCATAATCTTTGTATTTTTTTTAGTACCTCATTCAACTCCTGTTGGATGATTATTGGAGAAATTTTATGTTTGTTGAACCTGGTGAAACACCAATAGCAGCGAACTGGCGGCAGGTGCCAAGGCGCAACAGTGTCAATCCTTTCGAGTGAGCTTATGTCATTCAGTTTGAGACTAACGGCCGTATTCTTAAACGGGCCTCGACTCGACACTCCACCTCGACTCACTGGAGTGGAGGAAAGCACCTCGCCTCCATTTGAAGAGCCATCGGGCTTCACAGACGCGCCTCGGCGTTTCCTCGGCTGAGGAGCTCCTCGAGAACACTTCCTCCACTCAAGGAAACTCGAGGAGACGTGAAAGGCGTCTGGTTACGAGGTTGTAGTAAACAACGAAGTTGAAAACAATATTGTGGTGCGAGTTATGAACATATTAGTTAATTTTATTGAAGGCACACATTTTACTAACACTGAATTGGGAGTCTGCAAGATTTCTGCTTCGCAGCGCGCATATTTTATGCGTTGCGGCCGGTTTTCGGACAAACAGCCACAAGCGTTTTCCAGTCTGGCAACGGTGGCGGCCGCTCTCCAGCTCTTGCGTAGTAGAGGCAGCTGGAGCTCGCTACGGTCGTTTGTGTCTGCGTCTCGCCCGTTCTTCGCCGCCTCACCTCGTCTCACCGCTTATCTGCTTCGCTGTCACCGCCTAGAACGAGCATTTTCACCCTTCCTCTTTCTTCAGAGTCCTACTAGGGTGCCTTGCCCGTTCCACGAAGGTGACAAGAAGGGGCGAGTGGTTCCACGAAGGAGGGGAGCTTCTTTGTCGTTCTACTAACAACTACCCGAAAGAAGCTGAAATTGACGCTTAAAAGAGTCTGCACCAAGTAAAACCGCCAGCCGCATGTCCGCCCACCAGTGTTGCGACTACGGTAAATCCAAGTGGAAGAAAACAGACTCCGAGAAGAAGCAGGGCATCCGCAACAGGTGTGTAAGGAATTTCTATATTTAGGTAGAATAACGCAACGCGTTCGCGAAATCAAATGACAGGACGTGTGTACTAAATAACTCTGCAAGGGATTTTGCTGTGGCTACCTGCAGCGTCCGCAGTAGCTAGTCAAGCACGTTACTGTCGAGGCCGTAGGTGGGCAGTGACGGCGAATTGTCGCTATCTTTGGTGACTCTTGTGCCGGCATTGACAACTTACGTTTGCGTGTTGTGCTATATCCAAGCGAAAATTACGCAGCCAACATTCCGGTTGCGTCACACTACCTTAGCTTGAGCTCCGGCCCCTTTCTTGAGATTAGAGAGGCAACCTGGACGTATCAATAAAACGCGACGGACGAAACTGACACTAGTGCACATAGAAGTTACCCTAAGTAGGAGTTTAGAATATGTTAATTAGACCTAGCACCTGATCCCCTTGTCTGCTCATCTATTGAAGAAAAAAAAATTGTGCTGGTTTAATTGACTACCAGCTCTCATTTCTTAATTTTAACCTCATAAGAAATGCCATTATGTGAACATGAGACGTGCTGGAGTCCAGTTGTTGCTATTTGCGAGGTTAACCAGCGCATTGAACTGGCATGATTAAGCCGGCACGAATTTAATATGGATAGAAGTATACATTATTGATTTGAAAAATTGTGTGCCCGCAATATGACTGTTGTCGATGATCACACTAAGCTACTCCAGTATTTTCCATGCACATCAAGAAACAGCACAGGTACGGCATCACTTGTTTCGAATTTCATTCTTGCAGTTAAGTGTTGAACAACAATTTGTACCGCATAAGTTGTAGTACGATTTGTTTTTCTTTCTACGTTGTGCTCTGTACATCTCAACTCATGGGTGCTGTCACAGGATATTCTTTGGCCTTTCGTTGCAGGAGGGGGCACTGGTGTTTCACCTGCTGAACAATGAGCCCGTCCCTCCAGCTTGTGGGGGCACTGATGTCCTACATGGCAATGCGGCTGCCAAGCCCGTACAACAGTGGCAGCACCCGCACTGGTTAGCCGGTGCTCTCAATGCTGCCAGCCGCCATTCCCCAAGCCACAGTGAACGAGCGTGACGACTGACATCATGCCTGGTAAAAGCTTTTGATTGCATTTGCTACGTACACATGAAGGTTAGTTGCTACTTGATCACACGGCTTCCAATGTTTATTTGTAGAAAAAATCTGTTTCTGCTCTTCCGTTCATTATTTCGATTTTGGCATACTGTCTCGTAGGAACGCTAAAAACTGTGACAATGAGCCGCATTTTCAAGAATGCGACTTGTTAGGGGTGCCACGTAGGAACACAGTAAATTCCTTGGGTCTGGATAATGACATGTTTATTGACGAATACGCCACACGTTTGCCCGAGGGCCAAGAAGGCCCGAGATAACACCGCTGTCTCTTTTGACGGTATCACCATTTGGAGCCTGCGCTGCCGCTACTGACAGTAGCACAGAAAGGAACGGTCAGAACCAGGAAGGAAAACTTTCATGTCTACCAACAGATGACATTTAACATTTCTGTAGTGGGGTTGGCGTAACAGTTTCTACCAGTTCTCCGGTATCTTCACCGTGCCTGTAACACTCGGTGTCAATGTGTTGTGCTTGCCTAGATTCGCCTGCCTCACTGCTGCTGGACTGGGGTGACATCATGGAGTTTGCGGTTGCTGCGTCACCAACCAAGTCCCCGACTCCTCTACCTTCTCAGCCGCCACGTGTGGTTGTCCGAGTGAACCGACGTGAGGAGCTGCACCTGCTGCAGCTGGAGCTACGTCAATGTCAGGTTGCCTATTAGCAGACGCAGGCCCAGGTTTTCCATCAGCAGCAGCACAACGAGCTGGTTCTAGCTTGAGCTGCTCCAGCTCAACAAACTTATCAAGCTGCAACTGCTTGTTCTCGGGGCCCAGCCACAACAGTAGGCTGATTTATTCGATTTGTTTCATCTTCCTCTTTAGTAATTACCATTCTCTTTAGTGTTTAAGATTGCTTTTTAAAGTCTGTAACTTGCTTCATTTTATCCCTGACCTAAGTTGTTATGAGTATTGACCGTATCTCGTTCAGTAAAGCCTAGCATTTTTTTTAACTTGTTTCTCTATTGGCTATTGTAGCGAACCCAGGGTAGTCCTTGTTGTCTGGCTCCGCCGGAGCCAGGTACCGACCAGGACATCAGGAAGATGGGCCTCGGAAGCCGGGGTACTTTTCGATAGACCTTTAATTTACATTTGTACAGTTGATTCAAGACCAGAGAAGAGAAGACATTTGCTTTTCAAAGTTCGCGTATTTTAAACACTGGCTACTCCCTAGGTCCCTAGGTAGGGACCCCCACATCGGTGGATAGTCGGCCAATCACAGAAAGGTGTCCAGTTCTAACACCGCCCCACATTCCATGATTACGCACACTCAGCCTCCGTAAACACTTCACCGTCGGTCTAGACGGCGCCGAGAGTCTCACCAAAACACCGGCTCGTTGGAATTCACGCAGCTGGTCAAAACACCGTCCGGGGCCGAGACGTGACGTGCCGCCTTTCGACCCTTCGTGTCTACGCGTTGAATGAAGGCGTCCGGATGATCTCATCGTCCTGGATTGTGCCCTGGTGTTTCGGCGGTGAAACCTGAGACGTTGTTTTCCCTCTTCGGAGGCTACATCCAGACTTGTACACGTGAAAGTCTGGATATATCTCGGCGCACGTCTCGTGCGTTCGCTGGGCAGGCGTGCCTTCGAAGCGATAATGGTGCCAGGCTCGCTGAGTCAGATGACCTTGAACCCGCGGGAGGCGTCCGGCGAAAACAAACGGCCCGATGCAGACATTAGGAAATGGTCCGGGGCCTATTCATAACACCGTTCATTACAGCTCCTCCAAGCACGGGAAGATCTCTGAAGGGGAGGAGTAACCGCTTCACGCCTGAAGAGATCAACATTCAAGCGGCAAGAAGAAGCTTCACACATAGTACACCCCGGCCGAAACAAACAAAACCAGCAAGTGTCCACACTGCCTCCGAAGCCGCCAGGCCTTCCTATGTTTTCCATATTCCTGCTAAACATTCCTGCTAAAATCACCCTAAAGTATGCCATGAAGCCTCAGCACAAGACTAAAGTCGGTTCCATTCTCGACGCACCTTACAATATAGCCAGATTTAAACAATATGCGTACAACAAACAAACATTATTCGCCTACACGTAAAATAGTAACCTGTTAAATGCATAGGAAAATCAAGCAACACGAATCTAAAAAGACCTACTCAGTCCATCTACATTTCCGTTAGCCGTTCCTTTCTTGTATTTTACAGTGAAATTCAGCTGCTGCAGAGCAAGGCTCCACCGCAGAAGCCGAGCATTTTTGGATGACATCTGAGTCAGCCAAGTCAGCGGGCAGTGATCGGTAACGAAGACGAACGGGGCTCCATACAGGTAGCAGGATAGCTTTTGGGTCGCCCAAATCAGGCACGCGCATTCCTTTTCGGAGGCGCTAAACGCCTCTTCTCCGGTACTGAGCTTTCTGCTGGCGTAGAGCACGGGGTGTTCCTCCCCGCGGTCATCCTCCTGGCAAAGAATGACGCCTAACCCGCGATTACTCGCATCGCACTGTACAATAAAGGGACGGTTATAATCTGGCGTGCGCAGCACAGGAGCGCTGCACAAAGCAGCCTTCAGCCCGCGGAAGGCCCTCTCCATTTCCTCCGTCCAGGCGACCTTCTCGGGCGCGCCCTTCCTCAGAGCATCCGTTAAAGGGCTAGCCATCTCGGAATACCGCGGAACATAGCGCTGATAATAACCCGTCAAACCGAGGAAGGCCCGAATGCCTGTTTTTTTGACGGGTTGAGGAAATTCATTTACCGCCTCGACTTTTATCTCATCTGGTCTACGCCGGCCCTGGCCCACCACGTGCCCCAGGTAACGCACTTCCCCTTTCGCCAGCTGGCAGTTTTTGGGTTTTACAGTTAGTCCGTCCTCACGCAATCGACTGAAAACATCCCTAAGGTGTCCGAGGTGGTCTTCCCAAGTGGCTGAGAAGATAGCCACGTCGTCTAGATACGGGAGGGCGTATGTTTCAGCGCCCCTCAACACTCGGTCCATTAATCTCGAAAAACAAAAGGGCGCGTTTTTTAGACCGAAACTCAACACAGTCGGGCGAAACGTTCCAGAAGGAGCTACAAAAGCGGCATACTGGCTCGCCCTCTCGGTCATTGGGACCTGCCAGTACCCTCTAACAAGGTCCAGGATCGAGACGAACTGAGCCCCACTTACTCGTTCCACCCTCTCTTCGATGTGGGGAATCGGGTACACTTGGTCCTTAGTGATCGCGTTAAGTTTGCGATAATCGACACAGGGTCGAGGGTCCTTTCCGGGGGCCTCTACGAGGATCATGGGCGAGGTATACTCGCTCTCGCAAGGGACGATGACTCCCAACTTTAACATCCGCTCGATCTCAGTCCTTAGGATATCTTGTTGTCGTGGAGCCATGCGGTAAGGTCGGCATCTGATTGGAACACCAGATGTGAGCTCTATCCCTACCGAAAAATCCGGTATAACTTTTCACTATCCGGATTATGGAACCGGAAATTTGTTTCTGGAAACCCGAAATCCAGATTGCAGACAAAGGAATAATTTCTGAAAACCTAAATTCCAGATAGAGTCTAGATAGAATACAGATAGATTTCCGGTTCTATAATCCGGATAGCGAAAAGTTATACCGGATTTTTCGGTAGGGATGTCATGCGTCACCGCCGAGGTCTTCCCCGGAATCTCTGAAAATAGTCCCTCAAACTCTCCTAACAGTTGCCTCAGGTCCGCCACCTGAGACGCCGTCAATTGGTCGGGCTGTACCGCGAGCGCCATTATCTCATCAACTCCGACAGACCCGTCCTAAGGTTCTCCGAGTTGCGGAACTTCCAGCTCCCCCTCGTCGGACCCATTCAGCGCAATGTTGACCAACTGAGGGCTACTCACGTACGGCTTCATCAAGTTGCAGTGATAAATCTGAATGGATTTTCGTTTACCTGTTCTCTCAATAGCATAGTTGGTATCAGAAAGCTTTTGGGCCACCCGAAAAGGCCCTTCCCACTGCACCTCCAATTTGTTAGCCCGCGAGGGTCGTAGTAACAACACTGCATCTCCCTCGGAGTACTGCCGAAACCGAGCGTTTTTATCGTAGTAACGTTTCGATCTCTCCTGGGATGCCTTCATGTTCGTCTCAGCGATCTCTCTCGAGCTCCTGAATCTCTCTAACAGAGTTAGAATGTACTCCACTACGGTGGGGTCGGAGCCCCTTGATTCCCACGACTCACGAAGGAGCCTTATTGGCGAACGCATGCCTCGACCATAGACCAGCTCAGCGGGGCTGAAGCCAGTGGCGTCATGAGCTACGGAACGTAGGGCGAACAACATCGCAGGAAGGCAGGCCTCCCATTCGCACTTGTTCTCGTAGATAAGGGCCCGCAACACGCGCTTCATCACAGAGTGCCATCTCTCTACGCTGTTTGTCTGTGGATGGTAGACCGAGCTGTGTATTAGTTTTATCCCGCATCTTTCAAGAAATCCCTTGGTGAGCGCACTAGTGAATACCGTTCCCTGGTCGCATTGTATTTCTCGGGGGAACCCCACTCGCGCAAAGACATCCAGGAGCGCCTTTACAATCTCAACCGAAGTTAATTCCCTCAGGGGCACCGCCTCGGGAAACTTGGTTGCCGCGCAAAGCATGGTAAGTACATAGCGGTACCCCATCTTTGTAGTAGGGAGAGATCTGACGACGTCTATCACCAGGCGCTGAAAGGGCTCAGAGATTAGCGGCACCAGTCTCAGAGGCGCCTTCGACTTCTCGTTTGGTTTGCCCACCGTTTGGCAGACATCGCACGCCCGCACTCGGTTCTCGGCGTCCCGAAAACACCCGGGCCAGTAGAACTCAGAACGAAGCCGTTCTTTAGTTTTTTTATTGCCCAAGTGGCCTACCCACCCTACGCCATGACAAAGCCGCAGCACGTCCGCTCGATACTTCTCAGGTACCACGAGCTGGTCAAAGGTTCGATCGCGTCTGTCTCGGTAGTGCCTGTAGAGCACGCCATCTCGAACCGGAAAGCTGACGTTCTTCCTCGCTACACCCTCCTTGCTAGTCTCCCAGATTCTAGCTAGACTGGGGTCGCCCTTCTGCTCGCTAATGAGCGTTTCCCTCGTAACTCTAACGAGTTTGTGGAAGCTGTTCGAAGACGGAGGCACCAGAACTTCATTAGGCAAGGTTACATTCTCATGATCGTCCTCTTTCTCTTTTCTAATGCCTGTCTCCCGACTGGCAGCTGTGTTGGCCTCGTCGGTCCGAGTTCACGAGCTCTCCACTTTCGCTTCCCCCAACACCTCGTCTGTTGACAGCATCTTCTTTGGTGGATCATACGCCAGCTGGGCGGAAAGCTCTCGAGCCTTGGACCGTGTCAGCGCCTGAACGAGCCCCTCCCCGAGGCTTCTGCCCTGATCTCTCAAGATTTTCTCCGTTCGGTTCGAAAACAAATAAGGGTACTGGGGGGGGGGGGGGGGGGGGGGGGGGGGGGGCAGTTTGTCTGAAACTGCCGCCTCAGTGCGCAGCTCTCCGAACATCCGGAGATCAGGATATCAGCCAAGGGAAGGCACAAGCTCCCCTCGTCAATGACAGACCGAATCCAACTACACTTCCCACTGTAATGGGCCTTCGTTACGAAATCGGGGTGGACCACATCGATGGTCGCCCCACTGTCACGCAACACTTGGCATGACTTGCCGTTTACCGTTAAAGTATAAAGGTACGGACCCAACAGCTCTTCGTTCTCTTCGCACTGGCTCGCGGATGCAAAAACAACCTTGGGTTTTCGACACCCTGCCGCGATGTGTCCCGCCTCGTGACAATTAAAACACGTGATCGGTTTCTTTGCCTCAAAGGCCTTTTTCTTGTCCCGATCCTCGCGTTCTTTGCCGCTGGCACCCTCCTTTTCCTTTTGTGACGACTTACTTTCGCCAGGTTTCTGGCGAAACTCTTGCCGCTTCCAGTTTTTGCGCCTCACCTCCGAGTCCCCCATTTCAGGCAGCTTCCCCGTCCCC